ATTTTCGTGGAAAATTTTTTGATAATCCTCGATCATGATTGGCTGATTTTGGGGTCAAAACAAATCGGCCGATATGATTTTATTATCAAAATTATTGTCGCGGCTAAAGCCTGAAAACGGCTGTAGCTTGAAATTTCAATTATTTTAATATAAAATTTTTAGAGTTTTTGAAATGCATTTTTTAGCTTTTTTTAAATAGTTAGATTAGGTTTTAGGGTTAGTTTTGATAATAAAATAGTATAAGTGGATTTTGGTATAGTTCATATTTTTGAATCAAGGTTCCTAATTTCAAGCTTTAGCCGCGACAATTATTGTCTTGATAAGACAATTCTAACGAGCCCAAAATCGCTAAAATTCAATTTCAGAATTCCAAGATCGTTAAAGACCTGTTATTTCAGATAAAACAGAATAGGTTAAACCCATCCGATCTTACCCGAAGTGACAGATCTTTAACGATCTCGGGATTCTGTAATTGGTTTCGGGCTCGTTTTATCATGACGGTCATTTTGGTGGTAAAATTATCTAAAATGGACAATGAATCATTGTTAAAGATTGGATACGTTTTTCAAATTAGACGTATAAAAATCACAGTAAATTAAAAATAAATTTATACAAAACTTGTCTATAAAAAAAAAGATCCAAAGTATTTCATTTATTTTTTTTACATCTATAACAGCTTAAAATAAGGTTAAACAACTAAAACCGAAAATTTGGCATATTATTTGCGAAAACCTGTGCCAAATAGGTCTGCGCGAAATTTAATATATACAATGTTTAGAGTGTCCAGGGTTCTGTGGTGGCAGAATCTGCGCAGAATTTGTACAGAATTCTGTGAGCAAAATAAAAATTATTGGTGAATATAGTCTATTGTGGTCAAATTAGAATTTTCTTTTTGTTGTAATTTTGTTTTTTTTAATGTATTATTTATACGTCACCGCAGAATTTGCTAATTTAACGATAATTGCAGCCGAATTTTTCAGTTAGAGCAGCAGTACCTTGGACACTCTAGTCTGCGCGAAATTTAATATATACAGTATTACACAGAAGTTTGTCAAAAATTGTATTTAAAACTTGGCATGCTACGATTGGCATGCCAGCAACCCTGCATGTTTTTTAGTTCGACATAATGCAGGTGATTAAAGTCAGAAATCATCCAATATAAGTGTCCAAAATAATGCTATCGCTATAAAAATTAAGTAAATTGTACGTATTCTAATTCTAAATGAAGAATTAGTGACGATCCGATCATTTGCACAAGATAAAAACAGTGTGTACTAGCACGACAGCTGAACATAACGTGGGTATGTCGCAGATCACAATTATTCGCAATAGACTTATAAATAGGAGGCGATTTTCAAGCGCCAACAGAGTAAATTATTAAAGAGGCCCATACATTTATAATAACAATAAAATAAGTAAAAATAAATAATGGGAAATAGAAAAAATCAAATTATCTCGTCACTACCATCGAATCTTGTACCGGAGGACTTGTTGCAAATCTTATTACAGACGTTTCAGGATCAAGCAAAGTATTTTGGGGAGGCCGAGTAGTGTATGATAATGAAGCCAAAGTAGCATTGGGAGTTTCATCATCAATACTTGAATCTTATGGAGCGGCATCACAAGAAACAGCATTCTCTCTGGCTGAAAATGGACTTATTGAGTTGCAAAAATCTTCAAAAGCACATTCCAAACATACAATCTGTATTGCTACCACAGGGCTTGCAGAAAGAGACGAAGAAAATAGAAATTTTGGAGGGGTTTGTTGGATCGGAATAGCCTCTAACTGCGGTCCAACATTTGTTGAACGAATAGACGCACCTTCCAAACTTTCAAGAAAAGAGACAAAATTACTATTTGCTAGAAGAGCTCTTGAGCTGTTAGAAAGCTTCGTTATCGTTAACGATTTACCTTAACGCAAATTATAATTCATACAGTACTTAATAAGATTTATGTTTTAAAAATGTTGACCATGTGACTTATTATTAATATCGATATTATGAATCCTAACTTTCTTGATGCTGATCTATACTTAATTAGGGTTAGTTACTATCTTACGTAGGGTGAACTTTTAGGGTGCTCTCAAGCATCTAAATCAATAGGTCTGAGTTCAATTTTTAATTAGTGGAAAATAAATTATTCGGTCAAGC